AGTTAAGAACTTTAAATTTATTAAGGTAAGGGATTAATAGAATATTTTAATCCTTTATTTTAAGAAAAAGTATAGAAGTTAATTTTAATAATCATTAAATATAGAGAGATAAATACCCCCTATTGCCTTCAGTATATCAAATATGAATGACAAATGAATTTTTCTTTTTAAATTTCAATACATGATTTTCATTATTAAGTATTAGTATAATTCAAAAAAAAAAAATTCAATTACCATCCATAAATATTATCTAAGCACTTGTCTTATATTGCAATAACTTAAATAATTTAGTGGTAATTTTCTTTTAATAGAAGTAAAAGATTTTAAATTTCAATAGTATAACATCTAAGTGGGGCAAGTTAAGAAATGAAAAATGGTTGCTTCCTATTTTACAATCCAAGATCAAGTAAAAAATAAAAATTTTATTAGATCCAAGTATAGTATTTTAAGTATTTGGGTCAAAACATAAGAATTATTTCCTTGAATGCATCAAATAAAATTATATCCAAGGAATTAGTTTCAAGACAATATAACCAAAAGTTTGTACAAAAATTAAAAATTATATTAAATTGTACTATATTAACTATTGAATAAAAACTTGGTTTTTTGATATTGATAATTTTTTTTATTTTACAATTTAGTACAGTTTAAACAATAAAATAAAATTCTTATAAAAAAATATATCTATATCTAAGAAAATAGTAGAGTGGATCTAAAGAGTTATCACTTAGTTAATAGGTTTGTCTCTCATCCCATTAACCAATGTTTAATTTTATAAAAAAAATTATTAAAAAATAATTTCTTATTAATTCTCTAACCCTAATCAAGAGAGAGTAGTCTCAAGTGCAGAGACACCTAACTGCCCAAAAAAGAAAAAAAAGAAAGTAGTACACTCAAAATCAATATACACATTCAAATTATATAACTAATTATTTAAACAAAAAAAAAAAAATGAAGTTTGTGTCAGCTAACATTTTATTAGGTGGCATAACCATTCCGTATCGGACAGGTGATATGGAGCAATAATTCTCCATCCGCAATGGCCACCACTTTACTCAATAGCTTGATACCACTAATACCATCGTATTCACATTTATGTCTACCATTTTTCTCATCTACCACTTGACCCTTCTTTCCTTCAGATTCTCCCAAAACCCCCCATTCCACAGTTAAATTAAACCCACTTGATCCATTAAATAACCCACGCCTGAATCCGGATCTTCGACGGAGAAGAAGAAAGAAAGATGAGCAGTAGTGAAGAGGAGAAGAACAGGGGAGTGGTCGACGATCACCAGCCTCATCAATACGGGACTTTTCAAGGAGTCGCCAATTACCCACCTACTACCCCCAGTTACCCCCCTCCTCGCCCGCCGCAACCGGCCATCGGATTCCCTCAGCCCGTCCCACCTCCTGGGGTCCACGAGCCCAGCGCCCCTCCTCCAGAATATTACGCTCATGGGTACCAAACCGTCCCTGGTAAGTCTAAATCCTTCCTTAAAATTGTTCTTTTTCTCGTGTTTTTCTGGAATTAAAATCGGTAGAAGTTGTGTAATGGGCCTCTGTGAGATGGGGACTTGGTGGCATATTGAATGTCTGAAACAGGGTAGGAAAGATCCAATTTTTGAGTTGAGGCTAGTAGGAAAACATAGACTTATACATTATTGGAACCCATGAAACATCAGGAGAACTGGTGCAATCTTGTCTCTGTCAAGTGTCAAATGAGTGCCTATGCAATGAAAGTAGAGCAACACAATTTGTTCTTTATTGCTTTATAAGTGTTTTAACTATTGATTGCTTTATAAGTGTTTTAACTATTGATTGCTGGATGGTATACGGTGACTTAATTTCTTAGAAATTTTAATTTCAAATATGCATATACCAGAATGTCCATTCTTGTAATTCATCAAAGTTTATGGCACTCTACTGTTTCACAGTGAAATTTTCTGAGATAAAAGTGCTTTTGTTGTTCCAGGTTATGCTGTTGCTGAAGGAACACCAGTAAGAGAGCGCCGTCTACCATGCTGTGGCCTTGGTGTTGGCTGGTGCTTGTAAGTCTTGTTTGTACTTTTTTTTTAATTTTAGAATTATTTTGGTGTGTATAATTAAAGTATGTTATTTTCTTTTACATTTAACATATTTGGTATTATCTATCTCCATTTATATGTTCCATGCTCCTCTGTGGGTTAGAATTCAATGATGGCTTAAGTTGATTGTTATCTGTTTGTACTAACTTAGGTGGAATATGCTATTATAGATTTTAAAACACTTGAAAGTTCTTTCTTTCATGTTTTTCATTCTGCCAACGCCTTGTGTGTTAATTGAAAGTCCTGTATTCTTTCTTTTTCTAAGATATTTTTTGAACTCCAAAAATTGCTGAACTTTTATTAGAGTAATCCAGAGAAATAGTGCATATAAGGATAGGAACTTTGCTGCTTTTTTTCTAATAAGGATACTGGCTTTTTGTTTGCTAATTAAGGCTGTGAACTTTCAAAAGTTTATAATCAAGGATACTAACTATTTGTCCTCAAATTTTTATGTTACCTATCAAATAGTTCTACACACTTCATTATTTACTTATTCTCAAAAAATGACTTGCTCGTTGAAGGTTTATCATTGGTTTCTTCCTTGCTGCCATCCCCTGGTATGTTGGGTTATTTGTTCTGCTTTGTGGAAGGATAGACTACAGAGAGAAACCAGGCTATATAGCTTGCACAATTGCTGTGAGTATCGTCCCTGTTAATTTCAGCTAGCTAAAGTGCTATTCTAATTTATTTTATTCCCAGGTTATACTAGTAGTTTCCATTTCATATATATGGTCTTAAGTTCTTTACCACCCAAACACTACTTTTAAAAACTATGTGTTGTGAGTTATCAAATCATATATTGCTAAGTAATATAATTAATCTCTAAAACATCACATGGGTGCTGGGGCAATGATTCTGGAAATGTTTAGTGTTAATACATCCACATGTCTGTTGCATGTTCCTGAAATATGATCATTTAGTCCAGCTATGTGCTGGTCATGTCTGTTGAGTGTCGTACATCACTATCTTTGCAAAGGGTATTTTTTTTTTTATTTTTTTGAACTGAAAAAGACAAATAAATATTACCGAAAACAAGGAGCACAAGAAGTACTACAACCCATGGACTAATGTAAAGTAAGCACCTAGCACCAGACCCCAATAAGAATACATAGGTTATCAAAATACATTAGTATCGCCCCTGTTAAAAGCTGCCTTCCCACGCATAACACTCATCCAACCTGAACACTATCCTTAAAGCCCAGCTGTAATGCACTTTTTCTTGGATGCATGTTCCATTCTGAAAAAGTAAACTTTATGTTCCCACATCTTTCCATGGTGACTAGTGAGAAAAGAGAATGAGGCAATTTCTTACTTAATGTATTGTGTATCTGTTTATTATAGCAAATTGTGGCTTGAAATTCTTAGCATCAAATGTTAAGAATTTTTATCATATGGATAATTCATCAATTGCACCATACTATTTACTATTAGAGATTCCCAGCTGATCAAGAATTACTTTCAAAACCACTTATTCTGATTGACCAGTGACTCTTTAAGGCAATACATCTGCCATCTTTCATTATATTTTTTTATTTAAATACCAACATTACAAACTCTTGATCTTATTTTCGTATCCCTTCATGGCATGTGAATGGCCTTGTGCTCATTCACAGAACTTGTAGAGAGAGGTACAGGCCATTGTGGCTGATTATCAATGAGGTCCAATTGAAAAACCCCTTGAATTCTCTATATACCAGTTCTCTGTTACCTCACTTTTCAAGTTATTTCTTTAGTTGCCCTGTATACACCAACAAGGAACAGGAAGCATTAACTATTTAATTTTACCTTTCCTTAGCCTAATACTCTGATGATACGGCTGTGCATGCAGGCCATTCTTGCCACTATTGCAATTATTCTTGGTTTAACAAAGGGAACTCATACCTGGTAGCATGCTTGGAGAATGGATATAGGTTGCAGTGTATGGCTGTACAAGCATCTTTTGAAACAACTACTCCTAGATATATTAATTTCTATGGGAGAAATGTGCATCTAGGCATTTGTGCTGCAAACTTAGCCTTGCTTGTCAATCGGTAGTGCTGTTGCTGCAATGCACATTCTTAAGAATAAATTTTACTTTTATTATTAGTGAATTACAGAATTTATGCTGTGTTATATTGTATGCATGTTTTGCAATATGAGTTGGAAATGAATTGCTGCTTAAAAATTTTTTTGGTTTAATGGTCAGAGTGTCCATGGGCCACGTTGTGCTCACCACAAACTTAATCCCTCCTGGCACTGGTTAAAGGCAGGCCCTCCTTGTAAGGATTAGGAATTTGGCCCCTATATTTTCTATAAGCCAAAATTTTTTATAAAGAGTATAATGGATATTCCAATCTTAGCAAATCGATATAAAAGGAAAATGTTGGCCAAAAAAAATATTAAAAGAAGATGAAGAAAAAATGAGAGGGAATGTTGGGAAATTTGAGCTAGAGATATGTAGACTTGTTAGTTGGGGAAACTTTTCCCACTACTTTAGAAATAGAGGGTAGAGGTGATATTTTTAGTTTTTATTTTTTTAATATAATTTTTAATTAATAAAAAAATTTTTTTACACTTTTTTAAAAGAAAAAAAAAAGCCTTTTCCAACTTTTATACCAAGTTCTCCTATTTTAATTTCTTATTAAATATAAAAAATTAACAAATTAACAAAATTCTAACAAAATTTCATTGTAAAAGTTATTAATTGTTTATACAATATTTATATGTATATATATTTTTAGTAAAATTGGTTTCTAACTAAAGAAACTCTATCTGGAATCAGATATTGGTGACATAAAGATAGGAAAAATGGGTACCAATCACTGTGACTGAAGCAGGAGCCGACCAATTTACCTTTGGTTGAAGCTAATACACTTGCATTCTAGTGTTATCCTGCCCAATTTACCTCTCTTCGCCTTCCAAGTCATTGAGGGTGTTTGACCATATTTTAAAGCGTATTTATTTTAAAAGTAAAATTTTCTCTTATAAATTTAAAATTTTGTTAGAGAAAAATTTTAAAATTGATTTTTTAAGTAACTTTTAAGCAAATTTTGTTAAATTTTTCTCCAATAAATTTTTAAATTTATAAAAGAATAATTTACTTTTAAGCAAGCTACTTTTTAAAATTTTATCCAAAAAAATTTCATTTCTTTGTTTTTCCCCTTATGCATGGCCGTGTGGGCTCGATCGTTAGGTTGCCTGGCTATAGCTCAGGCCAACCAATAGCACTCTTCATATATCCAATTCCACTACAGATTTCGGCAGAACCCTCAAATCAGCCCCTGACAAATATGGGTAGGAACGGATCCACCCCTCAAAAAAAAGCAGGGACAAATGACACCCCCAAAGTATCGATTTGGTCAAATCGATCATTATCTAACGGGTGACGTCATCACCGTCACGATCTCCGTTACCTCGTGCCAGCGTGTCGTTTTTTCA